ATAGCTTGGCCAGTTCTGCACCATGAACTGATGTATGTCACACTATATGTTGCGAGGGCCCTTTAGGAGTGCATGGGAACAATGCGCAGGCGTAAATAGATCATTACGGTCTGGGAGAATGGCACTGCGAGGAGTTACTAGGGGATCTGGCCGACGCTCGACACTCAAGGGAAAGACAAGAAGGGTAAACAATCAGACAATTACTGGTATCATCGGAACTAGAACTCTTCGCTTGCTGCTGAAGATGATGCGGAGCGCTTATGGGAGTGTCCCTAGTGCTTTAATGTTGATTCTTAATTCTATATTGTTAATCATCATCATCGCACATCGGATATGACCACAAGTGCTCCGATCTCCTTCTGAGTACATCTCCAAGTGTTTTTAGGCTAACAACATTCCCATTCTGTTCTAGTTAATGTAACGACGGGTGGCTCCCGCATGACTTCCTGTCTGGCAACTCCAACTGGAACACCCAGTGTGTGCAGTCTATTCAGTGAGAAATCATGTTTCCCCAAAACAAAGCTCCCATTCTGTTCTCGTATAGCATTGATGGGGGACGAGCGGCTGACGCTCGCCGCGGATGGAAGGTCGTGGGTTCGCTGTCAAAAATGACCTTGGCTCCCAACCCAGCCTTGAGTGGGTAACACCCGGGAAGTGTGATGCTGACCACATCTCATTCCGATTGAGAAATCATATAGGGTTCCCTATATGCCTAAAGGCGTGGAAAAGAGTCCTTAACTTTTTACTTACTATAGCATTGATGATATCTCTCCTGTCCGTAGAAGGCCCGTTCCTGATAGTCGCACTGATAGGCAGGGCGTCTGCTCTCTCATTGTCTTTTCCACCAGCATATTCTGGGACAGAAATGAAGGTGATTTTGCGAAACACTGCATGCTGTATCAGAATGAGCCACCGTTTCCGTATGTACACTGTTTTGATCGTCTGTTACATACTCATTGAGTCGCTGAGCAAACATGTATCAGCGAACTCCTGAGTTTTCCGCCACTCTAGGGCCTTTGTCATATCCATGACCGCCATTGTCATGCTGCTGGTGATCGAAGCAAGGCATCCGCAGCATCGGCAAGCCAGTTTAAGTAAACATTTTGGGTTAATGTATCTTTACTGTAACAACTTATTGATCTGAGTCGTGGACTCTTACTCAGTCGTTAGGTTTAATCTGTCGTCTCGATACGCGACGCAATTTGTCGTTATTTCAAAGCCCCACCCCGGCTGTAGTAGGGGGCCCTAATATAAAATAACGGTTGAACGGGGTTCCTCGGACCTCTCCCCGGGTGATTCTCACCGCATGGTGGCATTTGTTTCACCGGGTGTTTATCGCTTGGTGGATGTCCTGGTGGGATTGAGTCATCATCAACTAAATCCTTGAAGAAGAAAAATTTGAAGAGTTTGAACTGAATGCTACAGAAACATTCTTAGAATACCGTGGACCAGGAAGAATAAAAACACAGACATGCTATACGGTCTGAGCATCGAGTAGAACTGGCTCATAAACAGCATCCTGTCTCGAAAGCTGAGGTATTCTGGCCATGGTAGCCTGTGGATAAAGGTGTTGGGGGGGGGGGGTACAGTTTCTGGAAAACCAGACAGAGGCCAACCTCCGCGATCGTGGATACAAGAGATCAAAGATACAATAGGTATGAAAGCACATAAGGATGGCGAGGTGGCCAGTGAAAGAGTGACTTTAGGCCCGCCGTAACGAGAGAAACGTTCTGTAAAGGTGATTGGTGATATAAGCAAGAATGCCAGCTACAAGGATATAGTGTAATGCACTAAAGCAGTGATTCAAAAACTATGCGCAGCAGCCTTACGGGAAGCCGCGACCTCTTCACGGGGGCGCCACGAAATATTTGAAGACACGAGTTTTATGGTGGGTTTTTTTAACTCTTACATACGAATAGTCATACTTTCACTTAGGTTAGGGCGAAGTGGAAATATTTTAATTGAAAAAAGGCGCTGCAACTACGAAACGTTTGGGAAACACTGCACTAGAGGAAGGCATTGTTCAACAGCCTAGACAATAAATAAGCAATTAAAATGGGGAAATAGCGGTATATGTCGCATTAGCTCCACAGACGGTGATAAAAAAAAAAAGGGGGGAACGGCAATATTGACCACAAAAGGTTTTGAACAACGGATCAACATCATGGCACACAGGTCTAACCCATAAGTGCTCCGTTCTTCTTCCAACTCAAGTGTGAGTCCTAAGAAGCTCAGCACAGTGCACAGGCTCTGTATACCTTGGGTCGATTTTTAACTCGAAATTTTGCCCAGGCAGCGCCGTTAGGCTACTCTTTTCGATTTCCAACTGCCAAGATATTTTTTAGGTGCCCAACATTGCACACGGGCGTCCGATCTCACTACCCAAAGACCATGGGGAATTACTAGAAGTCCAAGTCCACGTTAAAAAATCCCAGCTCTTACCGGGGATTGAACCCGTAACCTCTAGCACTCGATGCGAACACTATGCCTCAAGACCACACAGTCACCCACCCACACAAATACAGTCATTAAAAACACATCCTGTGTATTTCTTTGTATTTCACACTAAACAGAAGGCTATATAAACGACACACGTGTCTGAGCCGCCATTGGAACTCAAATCAATAATGAGGCCAAGTTTTGATTTCCTGGTACAGTCTGGTTCCTGGGCACTCAGTGGATCCCATGTCTCTGTGTCCTCTCAAGGTGTAGGCGGTCTTCAGTTTCCCCAGGGAGACACCGCAAGCTATCAGGTTGTGGACAGCGTCCAGTTGTGCTTTGGGAGGCAACACGCTTGTGAACTCACCGGTCAGGCAAAATCCTGACAATAAAATAATTTGGATCATCTCACTCAGTATCATCTTCTGTGAATATTTGTCTGGACAATTATAATTTCTAGTACAAAATTATACCAATTATTTTAAATTTAAGTACAGCCAACAATGTCGCATACCAGCTTGCCCCAATTTTAAAACACCCTGCTGTCCCAGCTGAGATAAAAAGACAAATTATAAATACAATCTTTATACCGACATTATGTTATCAATGTCAGACTTGGACATTAACAAAAGAACACGAGAGAAGACTAACCACCTGTGAAATGAGATGTTTGAGAATGGCTGTGAATAAAACCAGAAGAGATTGAGTGAGAAACGATGTGATTACAAGAACTATTGGAACCATACCCATCGTTAAATTTATTGAGAAGCAAAGAATGAAATGGTTTGGTCACCTAATGAGAATGGAACCAACGATGCCAGCATCAAGAGCATACAACATGAAAATCGAAACACCAAGAGGCAGGGGAAGACCAAGAAGAAGATGGATTGAAGGAGTCACTGACAACTTGAGACTTCATAACATCACGGCATATGAAGCGACTGAGCGCGCCCTGGCTCGGTTGCCGATCATCTGATAGACTGCGACGCCTAGCGGCACAAGCAGATTTTGACAAAAGAAGAAGTACAGAAGTGTCTCCAGCTGACCTACGGGTGTGAGTCATGGGCAATGACAACAGCTCACAGAAGCCAGCTTCAGGCCTCAAAAAAGAAGATATCTGAGAAAGGTGGTCAAAGTGACTAAAAGGGACAAATTTTGCAATCAGACAATACGTCAAGATCTTGAAACCCAGGCATTACAATCTTTAGTGGATCAGTCACAGTTAACGATAGTCTGGACATGTGTGCAGAATGGAAGAAAGTCAGCCACCATGTTGGGGCATGGCAGACTTAACAACCAGGGAACCAGAACACCACGACGACCCAAGGTCCGCTGGGAAGACAACACCCGACATTTCCTAACTGACAGAGGACTGGAATAGGGAAAAAAGGCCCCCCCCCTCTCCCCCCCCCCCCAAAAAAAAAACTGCTGACAGAGAGGTCTGGCTATCAGTCTGGCAAACCTCTACACTCCAAAGTAGAAGAGGTAGTAGGTAAGTAATATGTTAAACTCAATATAATTTTCAGTGCATAATTTTTTGTACTGAGCAGACATTACTATTTACTTGTCAATCTATTCAATCTGTAAAAACATTTACATTTCAAGGTACATGTCATGTTGCCAACCCCCCCCCCCCCCCCCCCCCCCCGAAAACTTGACAACAAGTAGCAAGGCAAGACCATGGACACTAGGGTATTGGAAGGAGCTGGTATCACAATAGTTTTCTCAACTTTCTCTAAAGGCTCCGTTCGCGATGGCCCACTTGGAGAATGGAGGATAGCAGAGTCCCTAAAGACGTCCACTATGGTGAATTATAGATGGACAGAAGATGTCAAGAAAAACCTCTACTACAATACTAAGATGTCTACAAGCGAGACATGAATGATACAGGTATTGAGATGGATTCGCGGAAACAGGAATAGACCGATGTGCATGGAGAGGGAAATCAGGAAGGCAATATGGATAAACGAGAAAACCTCTACAGATAGACTCAGAGCTAAGCGCCTGAGAAGAAACACGTTCCACACAAACGATGGCAACAAGTGTGGTGCTCTATTAGTAGGAGACTTTTCTTAACGTCAGCGGGTGTTGTTAGTAACACTCGCCATCGCCATGGGATGCGCCATGCACACGTAATTCACACAGCACAATGTAATAATATCGCCAGGAAATACAAAAAGTTGAGTGAGTGACGTTTAACTCCACCAGGACTGCACAACAAGCGCTGAACACCCCATGGCACAAAGTGGCACAGGCACTAGTCCTAGATACCCTGTTCAATCGTTAGGTTAAAGCTGGGCCCCTGACGACAGCTGGGGTGGGGTTTTTAATGAACAACAATATGCGTTCCATACTGGGGTGGAATTCCTAGAAGAAGAAAAGACGCTAAAGCATTACATTGCATTTTTGCACACGTCGTATACTATCTTCAGTCAGTAACTTCACCTACTGTAAATATCTTCAGTCAGTAACTTCACCTACTGCAAAAATCTTCAGTCAGTAACTTCACCTACTGCAAATATCTTCAGTCATACATCAGGTTTTTGAGGTTTTGAACAACGGATCAATATCATGGCACACGAGTGTAACCCATACGTGCTCCGTTCTTCTTCTAACTCAAGTCTGAGTCCGAAGAAGCTCAGCACAGCGCACATGCTCTGTAGCACCGGCGAGGATCCTGAAATACTTTGGGTAGATTTTTAACTCCAAATGTAGCGCAGTTAGTCTACTCTTTTGGATTTTCAACTGCTAAGGGATTTGTTTACGAGCGCAACAATACACATGGGCGTCCGGTCTTATAACCAAAAGACCAGGGAGAAATTACTAGAAGTCCATGTGAAAAAAATCTCAGCCTTTACCGGGGCTTGAACCCTAACCTCTAGCACTTGAGGCGGACACCATGCCTCGAGACCACGTAGCTCCCGCTGGGCTCGGACTGAGATTGTCCATTCTCTCTGATGAATGGTCAGTCCCCGAAGAGCATCTGTCACACTCTTTTTGTTGCCTTACCTCTACCATCACATGGTCCAGTTGGGGTTTTTCTTGAGCAGAGAGCTGAGACCACAGTAACATTCGTCATATACTTGAATAAATTAGAGGACATTTAGTCGAAGTTTCTTAATGGGAGAATGTCTAAAGAGGCATATAAAATCACAATCATCATCATCATGAAGTGCCTTGCCAGCTGACGCAGGCGTTCATGCGTCGCCACAGATCTCGGTCTTTGGTGTTCTGAATCAATTTCACTTATACTCCTCTGCCTCTGCCTCTTCTACCAGTGATCTTTCCAATCGTTATGATATTTTTTTCAATGATTCTTTTCTCATTACATGATCTGAGAACTTTGTCTGTCTCCATCTCATTTTTTGTATATAATGTTCTACTTTTATTGGCCATTTCCAGGCATTCAATGTTGGTTATTCTGGCAGTCCAAGGTATTCTCAACATTCTTCTCAAGAACCACATCTCAGTTGCCCCCAAACTCTTCCTAATTTGTTTGCTCACATTCCAAGATTAAAATTACAATACAAAACAATTTATGAGAAAAAACACAGTAGTATTAAAACTAGTAATGAGAGACAGAGCATTTCTTTACCCAATCCAACGCTGTTGTAGCCTGAAGTGTGTGCACCGACCTTGTCCCAGCCACGCCCCTCAAATACCGACCCGTCTCCGCCAATAATAAAGCTGTAGCCAATGTCTGCCCAGCCTATAGAATACCATAAAAGGACATGTTATTGGTAATCCTAATTTGGGTGCTTTCGTTTTTTACCCTGAAAAGACAGTCAAATATTTCAGGGGGTGGTAGATAGGATGCATGCAGTCGTGGGACCTAGGCTGCACTTTCTAGTGGGACGTAGGTGGGTTGAGGGCAGGTCCAGTTCTAGGTGTTTGGGGCAAGTTAAAAGCACAACAAAACCGGGGAACCTGGTCTTACCACCAAATAAAATATTTGACGGTGCCCGTGACGTCATCTGTGGTGACTTATTACAAAAGAACCATAATTTGCCCAATATTATTCATTGAAAGACAATATTACGAAAAAAAGCAAGGGATATTGATTAAGATAGTCTCCGTTTAGGTTCCGGGGCTCTATTTTAGGGAAGGGGTCAACCCACTGCCTCCAACAAGCATGTCGTGAAGTCGAATAATTATGAGTGTTTTATTCAAAGTCGAAGTGGTCTTCATGATAGGCGAAGAGCCTAACAAAAGTCTGCATACAAGCAAGCCAGATCTTTAAAAAAGCTACATGAGAAGCTTGTGGGCTTTTATGGCTCAGGTGGACTTGTGAAACATGATTCTGGTGCTGTTGCTTTGACCACAAGCACAGCCAGCTCCAGACAAGACCGTACAGTTCAACGGGAATTCCACGGAAATTCCCGTGTTTGAGAGGCCGGCCGTGGTCGATGGATGCTCACCATTGTTAGGAGTAGATTTATACACAAATTAAACTACAGTTTAGTTAAGATGGCTCATAGTTCTGTAATGCTGGGAGTTGAATCAACTCAACCCACATATGAACCTCTTTTAACTTAATTGAAAAAGTGGAAAATACAATGGTACGGACATGTAATAAAACCAAACAGTCTCTCTAAAACAATACTACAGTGCACAGAAAAGGGGAAGAGGTCAAGAAAGAACTAGATACAGAAACTGACCAATTGGCCAGGTCTTAGACATACAGCGATAAAGTCCAAAGGTGTAGGAAGGTGATCAGACATTCAACATAAACTAGAGACCCAACGACACGCAGTTGATGATGATGATGTTGATTAATTAAATTTTTTTTTTTTATTATTTAAATTAGCTGAGTAAAGTAGTTCTAATAGATGAAATGCTAAGTGGATCAATTCATCAAAAGATGGATATAGCCGAGTAAACGTAATGGCAGATGGAATGATGAATGTACTAATTCATCAATAGATGGATATAGCCGAGTAAACGTAATGGCAGATGGAATGATGAATGTACTAATTCATCAATAGATGGATATAGCCGAGTAAACGTAATGGCAGATGGAATGATGAATGTACTAATTCATCAATAGATGGATATAGCCGAGTAAACGTAATGGCAGATGGAATGATGAATGTACTAATTCATCAATAGATGGATATAGCCGAGTAAACGTAATGGCAGATGGAATGATGAATGTACTAATTCATCAATAGATGGATATAGCCGAGTAAACGTAATGGCAGATGAAATGAAGAATGTACTAATTCATCAATAGATGGATATAAAAGACTAAACGTAATGGCAGATGGAATGATGAATGTACCGATTCATCAATAGATGGATATAGCTGAGTAAACGTAATGGCAGATGGAATGATGGATGTACTGATTCATCAATAGATGGATGTGTTATTGAGGAGACTGGTAGGCAAATATGATTATAAGTAGATGGAAAGGTAGACAGGTCGACGGATAGACATCAAGAAGGTGATACGTTGGCAGGCTTATATATAACTAGACAGAGACATGAAGCTAGGTAAATAAATGATCAACAGACAGGTAGATAGGTAACTACACGGTAGGTAGAAAGATAGGTAAGCAGACAGGCAGGCAGGTAGGTAGATATATGGTCAGATAGACATGTAAGTAAAGGGCCCTTCTGCACACCTTCGGGCGTATTGGACATATAGGGCTAGACCTAAATTGTATAGACTGAATGGGACTCGGTGGGAGATGTGGTCAGCGTCACGCCGGTCGCCTTTACTTTCCAGGACTTTACCTGGTACCCATTTAAGTCTGGGTCGGCCTGGTAGAGATGGTCATTTTAAAAACCTACAATTTGAACCCATGATCTTTAGATCCCTAGGCGAGCGTCTAACCGCCACAACACGGCAGCTACCAGGTTGTCATGAAGCATATAGATAATATGTAGGCAGGTCGGTAGACGTAACAGCTGCATTCACAATTGATTCTGCTAGTTAAATTGCTAACATTATCAGGACGAGGCCCTTGAGTATCAGGAAGTGACATCATAAATTGTACAAACACATTTGAATACCTGCCACCGTTAAAGAACATGCTCAACCAAAAATACTCTTTCTTCAATAGTTAACACCATTATAGCGAAGGTCAGTTTCTGAAAAACTGGTATATAGTAGTGATATTCTAAACTAGCGGGTACATGGGGCTTGAAACATGACATAATACACACATTCATAACGGTGCGCTAAAAATTGTTTTATAGATCTGACTCATTTGTATGCAGACTGCTGGTTCCTTGCCTCTCAGGCAGATGCACTCCGACTTCGAAGAAAGCTCCCAAATAGTCGACTCTTACGACATGCTTTTGGATGTTTTACACAGATGCTGGTTTTCATTGCATCTGACATTCCATCTATCTGGGGCTTGCGTGGTCGACCTCTAGGTCTGCTTTCTTCTTTCTTTTGTCAAAATCTGCTTGTGCCGCTAGGCGTCACAGTCTATCAGATGATCGGCAACCGAGCCAGGGAGCGCTCAGTCGCTTCATATGCCGTGATGTTTTGAAGTCTCAAGTTGTCCGTGACTCCTTCAATCTATGTTCTTCTTGGTCTTCCCCTGCCTCTTGGTGTTTCGATTTTCATGTTGTATGCTCTTGATGCTGGCATCGTTGGTTCCATTCTCATTAGGTGACTAAACCATTTCATTCTTTGCTTCTCAATAAATTTAACGATGGGTATGGTTCCAATAGTTCTTGTAATCACATCGTTTCTCACTCGATCTCTTCTGGTTTTATTCGCAGCCATTCTCAAACATCTCATTTCACAGGTGGTTAGTCTTCTCTCGTGTTCTTTTGTTAATGTCCGAGTCTGACATTGATAACATAATGTCGGTATAAAGATTGTATTTATAGTTTGTCTTTTTATCTCAGCTGGGACAACAGGGTGTTTTAAAATTGGGGCTTTCATTATGTCTAAATAGCAGGATTCTTTGTGCAACCTTCTTCTTCTCCTCTTCCACCTTGTACCTCAGCGAAGTGTCGGGGGGAGATGTAACGTTCGTTGATGAGCTCTGGTCTATCTAAAAGTGATTCTATAAAGTTTTTGTTTTCGAAAATTTGATTATTGTCTTATTATGCTCGAATTTTTTGACTTTTTCAATAAACCTACATTTTAAAATTCTATGAAAAATATTTAAAAACATGTTTAAAATAAATAAACTAGACCTGTACCTCTAAATAGAATAAAAGATTATGAATCCATCATCTATTGTTGAATACCTATCTTTGTTTTTTAAATTGTAGATTCTAAGTACATATTGTTTTTTTAACAAGATGGCGGCTATTGCCATGACAACTATGATTTTTTAACACTTAAAGTATACAAATGTAATAACATGTATCCCTACAAACGACCATTATAAAATAACTGCTCTAAGCCTGTAAATGAAAAAATTATTTTTTTTGGTGTAGTGACCCCTTAAGTAAATAAGAAAAAAGTAAAGATCCCTTTTCCACGCCTTTAGGCATATAGGGCATATAGGGATAGACCTATATTTGTATACATGAATTGGCAAAAGATGGGTGATGTGGTCAGCATCATGCCGGCAACCTTTACGTCCCGGGACTGCACCCGGTACCGACTTTAGTACTCAGGGGTATCTGCTTGTGTGTCAACATGTGAGATAATTACCCATGACTTGATTAACTTGAGCACATCTCGGGCTGATTTCTCTGTCCAGTTTTCCATCAGGTGTGGAAATTGTTCTAAAATACCTGAATTCATCTGTTTGTTGCAACCAAACTACCACCTGTAAATAGGAACAAACGCAAAGACATACACAACGGTCAACACAGTTGATACCAACCATGCGTGTCCATATGGTAATTCTGGTAGCTTTTGACCAGCGCCTGGCACGAGGCTCGGTCATGACAGTTGTTGCCAGTGGCATGGTGGATGAAGGCGTACTGAACCGGTTGATTGCTGAGGTAGGTGATACCAGTTGGAGCCCGTGCTCCCCATTGTGATCTAGTAATGATTTGTGGGCATGCCCCTGGGAACATAATTATTGTCTGTAAATTATAAGGACAAAGGCCATGAATTCCACAGTTTAAAGAGCAGCATGTTTTCACTGTACCTTCAAAAAGTGATTAAAACAGAGGTGGCTGGAAACCTTGGACTTTTCGTCCGAAGCTTTTCTCGATGCAAACCACAACAACAGCAAGGGGCAAAGTACCCTAGCTACCAGACCCCACACAGAGTGATGGCGTAAATAGGGGTGACTGCAGTCGAGCTGATTGCAAGAAATGCTAAATATAACATAAAATATAACACAGTTTGTGTTGGGTTTTTTTTTGGTAGAAAACTTCCGCTGTATTCGCGCGTCTTCTTCATTCCCTCCATTGAGGCTTCTAGTCACATTTTATATTATATTTAGCATTCCACGCAGTCGTTTCAAGTGAATAATTATAGGGATCTCCTTGCACCTTTGGACGCAAGCTGGACGGCTTAGGCCGGCTTAGTGATCTGGGGGACACAACCAAGCATTGGCAGCCCTGATGTCGACCTCACTGTCTTGTTTGATTCGTGACTTTTTCCGCTCGTTGTTGTCAATGCGGCCAAGGGAGAGAACTCCCACTAAGCCGACCTAAGCCGTCCAGCTTGCGTCCAAAGGTGAAAGGAGGGCCAATTATAGAAAAGATTATATGTGTTTTCTTCTTAAAGTCCATACGGTGTGTGTCATTGGTAGTCATGTCTATCCACAACCTTCTATCTCGTGTACTTTCAATCAACTCTGACACAGATGATCTTCCCTGCCGTGATGTCAGACTGTCCAGCCTCTTTTCTCTCGGTCTCCCTCTGCTTCTCTTCCCCTCCAACTTTCCAACCGTCACGATTTACTCTTGTTTTCTCTTTCTCATCACATGACTAAAGAATGTACATGAGTACAGCGAATGAAATAAACGGAGGGAATAATGATGATAATGATGATGTTGATGATAATAATAAAAATAATAATAATAATAATAATAAAGACTCAGGCCCAAGACAACCAGGTTTCTTAGTTACATAGTTTGGTGATTTTTTTACTGTATTTCGTAAGAAGCATGTTACAGTAAGGAGACTGTTTGACATAAATTAAAAGAAGGAAGGCCATACCAATGCAAAGATTAAACAGCTTTAAAACTCTTTGGTTAAGCACCAGCAAGGAAATCAAATTAAGAATTTTGAGAGCATGCATCTTCCCTGTAACAACATACGGATGTGAATCGTGGACTATCTCTTAGTCCTTAAGAAAGAGAATAGGGGCTTTTGTGCTGAAATGCTATAGAAAGATTCTCAGAATATCTTAGCTTAGACAAAGAAGAGGAGAAATACTGAGAGAATTGGGGCTTTTGAGCTGAAATGCTATACAAAGATTCTCAGAATATCTTAGACAAAGAAGAGGAGAAATACTGACATTTTAAAAGATTTGAACATCCAGGAAGATTGGCTAATAAACAGCATCCTGTCTCGGAAGCTGAAATATTTTGGTCATATCAAGCGCCACGACAGATTGGAAAAATTACAGCAGAAGGTAAGGCACCAGGAAGGAGGGGCATGGGCCGACTGACAAGAAGATAGGCACAGGATATAAGTGACAATTGAGTATGAAAGTACATGAGGCGGGAGAGCTGGAGATATAGTTTCTTTCAGGCAGACCATGACAGGAGCGACGTTCTGCAAAGGACCTGCTACATGATGATGATGATGATGCATGTTACAGACATTAGGTCAAACATATAAAGCATATAAATTAATCATTTCACCTTAAGGAGCAGTCTGGCTAGAAAGTTGAAAACACAGGCACTATTTTGTTTGTAATGAATGACCAACTAAATATCAAAATATCTTCTTGAAATCTGGTGAACATGTGCTTGATACATGACTGTTCACTAACGTTTTTTTTTTTTTTTTTTTTTTTGCAAACTTGTTCAAACTTGCTAAATTATTTTTAAATTGAAAATATTGTAAAAGTAAATAAAAAAAATAGATGTTGGTTTTTTTACAAATATTTTCTGAACTAACCTTAAAGAAGTCCTGAATTTTGGAGTCTTAGCAGTACATTGTCACAGTTAGATGCCCTACCTCTAGTTTGTCTGTATTAATAATACTTTTGAAGTTATGAAGTTTTAAATTTTGAGCTAAAATGACTAGCAAATTATGAAATTAAAATATTTATAATTCAACTTACATTAAGTATTTCTTAAAGCTGGTGGTGGGAAACCTAGCTGTTATTGTTTTAAAGCTGTGTACCAGTTTATTAATTTATCTCTAATAGTTTGGGAAAAAACATCAAAAGATCAGTCACACCACCTACATTTTGGCAAAGTTTATCGTGAATTTTTAAAGAGAATAATTGCACTTACTCGGCTTGAATGCGCTAATGTCCTCCATATAATCCTTCCTGGTGAACCTGTTTATTATCTCTAGTAAGTCTACTCCGCCTCTTAGCTATTCTGGGCTTCATATAATGTATCTTTGGCTTGCTGTTGAGTTGAGCATTTTTTATGCAGCGCACGTCCTTTTCTAGGAAACAATCCTTATTTAGAAAACAGTCTACAGGAAACTATCCAACACTGAGCTCCAGTGCCTTCACAATTTCCAAGAATGTCCTAGCACAATCACTGAATACTCACTTCTAATGAAACAGCTGTAGTTACAACCAGTAGTTGTAGCAACTTCAGTCACTGAAAATACAATCTTACTTCCTAACTCCTGCCTCTAAGTTTCAACTAATCTGAGGCTATGATGATAGCTTGCAGACACTAATTACTAATTGTGATGAAACATTCTGACACAAAATTTCCAAATAAATAATAAAAATAATTATGTTGTCACTGGTGACAGGTTTAGATAAATCGTTCCTTTCACTCTCAATGTCACTACTAAAGTCATCGGAACACTTTTGTTTATCCTCTAGATCTTCATTTATAATATTGACTGCCACGCCCACTTTCGCTGTTTATGGACAAATTGTCCATAAACAGCGAAAGTGGGCGTGGCACTTACATATTTTGAAATTACTAAAACCTTCTTTTCTTTATCAGGAACTGGACAAGTGTCAGTGTCACTACTTCAACTTGAAACTGAAACACGAGGGTCCGACTGAAAAATCTACCAGTCAAAGTCGCTTTATTTTTTTTTTTTTTCAAAGCTGCTTTGAAGCAGATGTAAACTGATGTCCACCTCTTTAGGCCACTTTAGTGCTTTACATCTCTATTTAAAAACTAAATATTGATCAAATATCACAAAATATAAAGCTAAACACATACAAATCTTGCTGTAAACACAATTCAAAATAGCGGAAGTCAATTAGCGGAGCAATCGTTATTATAGTAAGACCACAGAAACAGGGAGTGGTGCATTGTTTTGGATTGAAAAGTACAAGGATTTTCAGTCAAATGATGATGTTGAGCAACCCACATACACCCATTTATAATCAAAATATCTTAGGTTTTTTTTTTTAAATCAGATTTTAAAATTTTAAACTGCAAATGAAAATAGACATGTTCATCTACAAGGTTAGCGGCATAGATTGTATAAAAGCAAAAATAGGATACTTTTCACATTTCTAGCCAGACTTCCCCCTTAAATGCACGATTCAAAAATTTCAATGTGTCAAAATTCACGTCAACACGGAGCCCTCAGGCCAGTGGTTCTCAACCTTCCTAATACAGCGACAGTCCGTACCGTTCCTCATGTTGGGGTGACCCCAACCATACAATTATTTTCGTTGTTACTTCATAACTTTAATCAATATGTGTTTTCCGGTGGTCCTTGTGACAGGGTCTTGACACAGAAGTTGAGAGCCGCTAGGCCGTTTTCACATACAAACCGGCAAAACTGGAGCCGATGACAGAGACGGCATCGGATGCAATGTAACCGGATAGTCTCTCAAACCGGGTTCTGTGTAAAAACTGTCATTTGACTGCATTGCCGTTGGTGTTGTCTAAGTCACCGGCTCCGGTTTTGCCGGTGTGTGTGCTTGAAATAAGCAGGGTGATACACCTGGTTCCAGCTGTTCTCCCAGAGCGATGTTCTCTATGATAAGATAGACGTGGTAAAAGCTCTGCGGGATAGGTTGCAAACATCTGCGAAAAGGAGCAGCTATGTGCGTCGAGGGGCGACATTCAAAGATTAGGCGGAAAGGAGGGGAAGGAAGGGAGAGGGGGAGGGTTGAGGCCTGGTGACATAACACCATCAGCATAGGGACTCTTCGGGGGGGAGTTGAGGAATCACTGGTAGACATAACACTGATCATTCATAGGGACTCTTCGTTGGCTTTTGGAGTTCTTTTTTCATTCATTTATTAATTCATTCCCTCATTCGTTAATTCATGCACATATTCATTCATTCTGTAAGTCTTTGATGACAGGGAGTTGTATACTCCCTATTTGTTACTTATTTATTCATTCGTGATAACGTTCAAGAGCTTCTACGTCGACATGAAATGACAAATGCCATTGCAGCTCATTAAGCAATGGATCGCAAACTGTTCCTCCCCATAACGCTTAACAACAGAAGTGGAAATCGATAAACGAGATAATTTTTCTTAGCTGATTTCTTTCTAGTCGAATTTGAAAATAATCACGTGTGAACTAGGGCTGTACCGAATAGTGATTTTCACTTTTCGGCCGAATACGAATAGCTGAACCAACTATTCATACGAATACGAATAGTGAATCATCATCATCAGGTGCTTTGCCGACTAGTATGTGCGATTATGCCTCGCCACAATCTGCGATCTCCTGCAGCATGTATTAGTTCGTGTGCTGACACACCTCAATGCCATGCAACAAGACTGTCAAGAATCTTCTCTTCCTCTATCCCTCCTTCCACATATCTTTCCAGTGGTCCCCATATGTTTCCATTTTCCCTCATCTTATAACATGGTGGAAAAATGATGACTGTCTCCTTCTGATGTCTGTGAGGAGTTGTCTTCGGGCTCCCGCCTCTATCAAAACTTCTTAGTTTTTTTTTTTTTTTGGCTGTCCAGGGTATTTTAAGCATTTTTCTGTAATACCACATCTCTGAGCACCGCTCGCCTCGGTTTGATGTTTGTTCATTAGTCTTCTTGTAGTGAGCACTGCCCGACCCAGTTCATTGCTGGTTTACCAGCCTTCTTGTAGTAAGCACCACTCGCCCCAGTTCGATGTTCGTTTACTAGTCTTCTTGTAGTGAGCACCACTCGCCCCAGGTCGATGTTCGTGCACCAGTCTTCTTGAAGTAAGCACTGTTCGCCCTAATTTGATGTTCGTTCACCAGTCTTCAAGTAGTGAGCACTGCTCGCTCCAGTGTATTGCTGGTTCACTAGTCTTCTTGTAGTAAACACTGCCGGCCCCAGTTCGATGTAGATTCACCAGTCTTCTTTTAGTGAGCACTGCTCGTCCGAGTTCATTGGCGGTTTACAAGTCTTATTGTAGGAAGCACTGCTCGCCCCAGTTCACTGCCGGTACACCAGTCTTCTCGTAGTGAGCATCGCTCGCCCCAGTTCGATGTTCGTTCACCAGTTTTCTTGTAGTGAGCACCGCTTGCCCCAGTTCGATGTTGGTTTACCAATCTTCTTGTAGTGAACACTGAACGCCCCAGTTTGATGTTCGTTCACCAGTCTTCTTGTAGTGAGCACTGAACGCCCCAGTTTGATGTTCGTTCACCAGTCTTCTTGTAGTGAGCACTGAACGCCCCAGTTCGATGTTGGTTTACCAATCTTCTTGTAGTGAACACTGAACGCCCCAGTTTGATGTTCGTTCACCAGTCTTCTTGTAGTGAGCACCGCTTGCCCCAGTTCGATGTTCGTTCACCAGTCTTCTTGTAGTGAGCGTCGCTCGTCCCAGTTCGATGTTTGTACACAAGTCTTCTTGTAGTAAGCACAGCTCGCCCCAGTTCGATGTTCTTTTACTAGTCTTCTCGTAGTGAGCACCGTTTGCCCTAGTTCGATGTTCGTTCACTATGCAGGATATTTTAAGCATTGTTCTGTAATACCACATCTCTGAGGTTTCAAGAAATTGTTTGGCCTGCATACCGATTGTCCAGGACTTACAGCCATATGTTAACACTGGATGTATGTAGCAAGCAAGAATTCTTTTTATAACCTTCAGTGACAAAGATATATTGCATAAGATGTTCTTCATTTTATAAAATGCAGTCTTTGCCTGTCCTGTTCTGTTTCTTATTTCAGTAATGCATCTTCCATCTGATGTTATCCATGTGCCCAGATAGGCTACTTAAATTTCCGTACTTGTCCCAAAATAAAACCATTGACTTTCATTACACATTTAGGAGTAATTATTTTCTTTGATACCACCATTACTTCTGTCTTCCCACTATTCAAACTGAGGCCCATTCTTCCACTTCAGTGTATAAAATAGATATAAAAAGAAACCATCCATAATGTCAAATGTACGCTGACATTTTACTTCACAAAATGTAGTACAGAATAGTAAACATTTAAGTACATTTCACGTTTTGCATTTTTCAGTCAGTCAGTATGTTGTTACTAATACATAGGAGTGAAAGTATTCTTAGTTTAATAACAAGTAACTAAACTTGTAAATTGTCACTGACAGCTTAATTAATCCATAAAAGCGGCATTAGCTTTCCACACCAAAAAAAATCGTTCAATTTTGTCAGCATTAAGGCAGCTTCTTGCCTCACTGAAATATTTCCAGATTTACTAAACAGACGTTCACTTGGTACGCTCGTAGGTGGTGCACACAGATAACACTGGACAGTATGAACCAAGGTGGGAAATCTTGATATGTTTGATTTCTACGTCCAAGAACGGGTGTAAGGTAACCACTATTCGTATTCGGCCCGACCGCAACTATTCGGCCGAATACCGAATAGTTATTAGGTCCACTATTCGGCACCGAAGCGAATAAGAAGCGAATATTCGGTACAGCCCTAGTGTGAACTCAGATTTTGCACTTACCATGCACCACAATCACCATCAGTGCAAAACAGAGCGAAGCAATCAACATCGTCATTGTCTGGGCTGGCACAAGTTACAGCAGACGTGGAAAAACTGGACTTTTATTGGTCTTATCTCGGTTCAGAAAAGTTACATCTGTTGCTGTCGCGATTGGGCCCAAATTGTCATAAAACGTAAACGGCTTTCACATCGGCGACCGGGTCGTCATTGGCTCTGGCAGAACAGTATGTGGGTCTGTCACCTTTGATTTCATGAACATTACATGAGTCCTTTTCCTGACTCTTGGTGGCGTGCAATGCTAAGCCATTTCATGTGTCGCATTTTACATAGTCACAATTATAATCTAAAGCTCCACCTTCGGGGATGCTTGCTGAACGTAATCTGAGGCCACATGTAAATATTTGCTGATCCGTACAGAAGTGCTCGAGATATTTGTTACAGTTTGAGGTCACGACTTTTGGAACTCACTCTACTACTTCTGCTGCTGCTGCTACCACTACCATCTCTTCTTATTTTATCTCCTCATCTTGTTCTTCTTGTTCTTGTTTTTCTTCTTCTTCTTCTTCTTCTTTTTCTTTATTTAAGATCTGTTTTCTAATTTAAAATTGCTTGTGTGAAGTTTCTGAACAAAGTTACTACAACTGCTCCCGCTATTTGTTCATATGTGTGAAGTTCCCTTGAGAGATTAGGTGTGATGGAAAATAAGACTAGTTTGTTTTAAGTACGAAAAGAAACTACTCAAGCGAAAAGAAACTACTCAAGTCCGTAAGTCAGCAATACACATATCTCTGCTTATCTTTATGGCCTGCTTCTTTCACATAAACAGTTACAGCGTCATATAATTACCAGTTACCTGTGACCTAAATAATTTAAAAAAAAAAAACTTTTTACCTAAATAAATCATGACAAACTTTTTCATTAAATTAATCACAAATGTTACACTAACGTATAAACACGCATTATACATACGATGCACTCACACACGTCTCCGATATTTCAATGAAAGGGCCGCTCCACGTAAGCCAGATTTCTTCCCCCTGGCTGGCCAAATCTGGGCACTGTAAGTGCTTTTCTGTAATTTGTGTTGGTGCACATCTTTCTGTGGCATAATTAGTCTGACAAAATTTGTGAAGTTTCGTTTTGAAGTTAGTTTTCTAATCGGTCTTCTTTTTCTTCTTCTTTTCTTTAATCCTGGAATGTCCCGCGACGACAGGACAGGAAGAGATCTCTGGAACGAGCCCTCCTTGTGTGGGTTCCGGGGCCTTGCTATAGGGAAAACAAGAATAGACCCACTGCCTACCCAAAAATCATGTCGTAAGAGTCGACTAGTTGGGAGCGTCCTTCGAAGTCGGAGCATCTGCCTGAGGGGCAAGGAACCAGCAGTCTGCACACAGAAGAGTAAGATCTGTCAAACAGAAGCACGCGCAACACTCAGGTTCTGAAACAGGACTGCATTCTAGAAGTGGGCAGCCGGTGAACGCTGGAAAAAAGAAGAAGAAGCCCTTCTGTTCACTTCGTATAAAGTACTTTTAAGTGTCTGTGATATTTCTTCAGTCCATGTTCGGCGTGGTCGACCTCTGGCTCTGTTACCGCTAAATCTATATAACATTACTCTCTGTGGTTCCTTGTCTAATGCCAATCCTATTACATGGCCAAGCCATTTGATTTGTTGTCTACCTTAAAAGTTCAGTATTGGTTCTGTGCCGACTCCCCTCCTGATATCACCGTTCCTAAGTCAATCGCTCCTTGTTACACCTAGCATAAGACGTAAACATTAAATTTCTGTCATAACTATTTTCTTCTGTTTTCTTCTGTTTTCTGAAGACAGTGTCCATGTTTGACATTGACGGCATAGCATTGGTAAGAACAGTGTTCTTTTAGTGTTCATATTTACATACTCGCATTTCTACTGAGTCTAAAAAAATCTGGCCTTTTTTCTGCCAAGGTTATTAATGTTGCTACTGTGTGGTGTGTAGTTTTCGTGTAGTTTTAGGGGTGGTTTTGTCTATTTAAAGGTTTTGTATATATGAGACGGCATGCGACTGTATTATTGTTTCTAGAGCAGATTTTTTGTGAACTCTTAAATCCACTGCCGATTTGCTGGACCTGACACAGATTCATCCTTAAGAGAACACCGGAAAACACGTAAATCACATCGAGAACACTAAAAAATTTCACAGAAGAGATCGAGTGAGAAACGATGTGATTACAAGAACTATTGGAACCATACCCATCGTTAAATTTATTGAGAAGCAAAGAATGAAATGGTTTGGTCACCTAATGAGAATGGAACCAATGATGCCAGCATCAAGAGCATACAACATGAAAATCGAAACAACAAGAGGCAGGGGAAGACCAAGAAGAAGATGGATTGAAGGAGTCACGGACAACTTGAGACTTCATAACATCACGGCATATGAAGCGACTGAGCGCGCCCTGGCTCGGTTGCCGATCATCTGATAGACTGCGACGCCTAGCGGCACAAGCAGATTTTGACAAAAGAAGAAAGAAGATGCGACTGTATTAATGTTGAATTAAGAATCGACATCACAGCACTCGAGACACTTCAGCAGAAAGCGAAGAGTTCCGATTCCGATGGCATCAGTAACTGTCTGTCTGTGAATCCGTTTCGCCTTTCCCCTGAGTGTTGAGCGTCGGCCAGATCTCCTGGTAACTCCCTGCAGCGCTATTCTCCTTACACCGTAAGGATCTGTATGTGCCTCCGCACCGTTCACTCGCTCCCAACACACCAGCATGACCTGGAGACAATATCCAAAGGATGCTAACTACCCGGAACCTCTGAAGTGATAATTGTCAGTCTGCATGAAGCAGTGACTGCTTACACCTCCATTCAATATATATATATATAATGTATGTTAAATTAAGAATCGACACCACAGCACTGTGGGACACCCCAATAAGCGCTCTGTCCCCATCTTTAGCATCAAGGAAAGAGTTAAAATTCCGATGGCACCAGTAACTGTCTGATTGTATATTCGTCTCACCTTACCCCTGAGTGTCGAGCGTCGGTCAGATCCCCTTCTAACTTCTCGCAGTGCCATTCTCCATAAATATATATATATATATAATTTAAATATGATTTACTTCATTTTCGTAAAAACATTGGTCCAACTTTTCCCATGACGCCAACGTCCTTGAAAGTTCTGATGTCGTCATTTCCGCTTCCACCGATGGAAGTCCAGGCAAGATGTCTGCACTGCGCGTTTTCCAGTAGGCACACGATCCTGTGCGCACCAGAACTCGCGACCGGTTGGCTCTGACACCAAGACCGCTAGATATCAGAGACAGACCGTTGAGCAGGCAAATTCTACTTGACTGCAAAGGGAAAAAAAAAACGCCATGTCTGAAGCTGCCCAGATCAGACCGTCGGATAGTTTGTTGTACTCGGACCAGCTGTTTCGTGTCTTGGGTGGGGATGCGATGCAGATTCTGCGCTGTGGTATTTGCATGGAGTTTTTTGATGTTCCGATTGTCCTACCGTGTGGACACACGTTCTGCCTTCAGTAAGCCCTGTTCTTTGTTGCTTGTTGATGTTCTTGTCGTTTCGTATTTACTGTAGAATACGTGTAATGGTGGTCTGGAGGGAAAACAAACGGTTTTGGAGGGTTCAGTTGTTTCAGAAAGAAAAAGAACACCAGGAAGAGACTGACGTAAAAGCACATAGGGCTAGAGAATTAGCTAGAAAATAAGAGACACCCAGGCGTACCGTGAAGAGAGCGACGTTCTGTAAAGGACTTGTTGATTGATGATAGAATACATCCACACGGGTTGATAATGGCCAGTGCCACCAGTTGAATGCTGGACCGCAAACTGTTCCTTCCCACGACACTTAATGTTATACGTGGAAGTTGATGATGATTATAATGATGGTGAAGATGATGATGGTAGTAGTAGTAGTAGTAGTAGTAGTAGTAGTAGTAGTAGTAGTGGTGGTGGTGATGATGACGGTGATGATGATGATGATAGTGAAAATAGTGATGGTGATGCTAATGGTGATGATGGTGGTGGTGGTGGTGGTGATGCTAAGGATGACGATGGTAGTGGTAGTGGTGATAACGGTGATGATGATGGTAGGGATGATGATTTAATACCCATTTCCAACAGGTGGTTCATCGCCTCTGACTCCTTTATCTCAAATTCTCTGGAACGCAGCGCATTTCGTATGTCTGCCTTGTCCATACTTCTTCCTCCTCCAACGACTGGTCGGACACCGCCAATCTATCGGCTGCTTCCTTTCCCTTCACACTGGCGTATCCCTGTGTGTACAGTCAGGATAGTTTCCTAAGTTTGATAGTTTCCTCGCATTCTCTTGCAGCCACACAAATAGCTATCGATGTTAAATTCAGGTCATTGGGTTCCCTGTGTGGGTTCCGGGACCCCATTGTGAGGAAAACAAGAATAAACCCACTGCCTGCTCAAAAGCATGTCGTGAGAATCGACTAACTGGGAGCTTCCTTTGACGTCGGAGTACATTTGCCTGAGAGGCAAGGAACCAACAGCCTGCATGCAGATGAGTCAGACCTGTGAAATGGATGTGCACACAACACTCAGTTTTTGGAACACGACTAGAGTCCAGAAGTGGACGAACAACCATAACTTTCGAGTTTACAGCTGGTGAACGCGAAGAAGAAGCAGAAGAAAAAGAAGAAGAAGAAGATCAGGTGTGATGCCAATGAGGCCGGCATTCGGGATTTGGAGAGTTGTGAAAATGTTTCAGAAGAAGAGGACATGGCTGTATTTACATAAATGTAGATGTTTGTACATGAATAAATGTAGATATTTGTACGTGAATAAATATAGAATATTGTACAGAATAAATGTGTAGATTTCTGTACATGAATGAATGTAGATTTTGTACATAAATTAATGTAGATTTTTGTACATGAATAAATGTAGAATTTTTTACATAATTAAAGATAGACTTTTGTACACAAAAATATAGAATTTTGTACATAATAAATATTTAATTTTGTACATTATTAAATCTAGATTTTTGTACATGAATAAATGTTGAATTTTTTACATAAAGAAATACATAATATGGTACATGAATAATTGTAGAATTTTGTTCATGAATAAATATAGAATTTTGTACATAAAATAATATAGAATTTTGTACATGAATAATTATAGCGTTTCGTACATGAATAAATGTAGACTAGATTTTTGTGTGTGAAAAAAAAAGACATTCTTGAAATTAGGAGCCGGTGAATATCTGAAGCAAAGGTTAATAAAAGACGTCGTTTTTTTTTTTTCCTTTAGTGAAACACAGTGTGCCTGGTATGCTGTGTCGTGGATAATAACACATAGAACACTGGTTCTCAACCTTCCTAATACAGTTCCTCGTGTTGTGGCGACCCTTTAATACAGTTCCTCATGTTGTGGCAACCCTTTAATAAGTTCCTCATGTTGTGACGACCCTTTAATACAGTTCCTTATGTTGTGGCGACCCTTTAATACAGTTCCTCATTTTGTGGCGACCCTTTAAGACAGTTCCTCATGGGTTTGTAGCGACCCTTAATACACAGTTCCTCGTGTTTGTGGCAACCCTTTAATACAGTTCCTCGTGTTGTGGCGACCCTTTAATACAGTTCCTCATGTTGTGGCGACCCTTTAATACAGTTCCTCGTGTTGTGGCAACCCTTTAATACAGTTCCTCATGTTTGGGCAACCCTTTAATACAGTTCCTCATGTTTGTGTGGCAACCCTTTAATACAGTTCCTCGTGTTTGGTTGGGCGACCCTTTAATACAGTTCCTCGTGTTGTGGCGACCCTTTAATACAGTTCCTCGTGTTTGTGGCGACCCTTTAAATACAGTTCCTCTGTGTGTGGCGACCCTTTTAATACAGTTCCCTCGTGTTGTGGCGACCCTTTAATACAGTTCCTCGTGTTGTGGCGACCCTTTAATACAGTTCCTCGTGTTGTGTGGCAACCCTTTAATACAGTTCCTCGTGTTGTGGCGACCCTTTAATACAGTTCCTCATGTTTGTGGCGACCCTTTAATACAGTTCCTCGTGTTTTAGGCCCTGGCAACCCTTTAATACAGTTCCTCGTGTTGTGGCGCGACCCTTAATACAGTTCCTCCCGTGTTGTGGCAACCCCTTTAATACAGTTCCTCGTGTTGTGGCAACCCTTTAATACAGTTCCTCGTGTTGTGGCAACCCTTTAATAACAGTTCCTCGTGTTGTGGCGAGCCTTTAATACAGTTCCTCGTGTTTGTGGCCAACCCTTTAATACAGTTCCTCGTGTTGTGGCGACCCTTTAATACAGTTTCCTCGTGTTGTGGCGACCCTTTAATACAGTTCCTCGTGTTTGTGGCAACCCTTTAATACAGTTCCTCGTGTTGTGGCGACCCTTTAATACAGTTCCTCGTGTTGTGGCGACCCTTTAATACAGTTCCTCGTGTTGTTGTGGCGACCCTTTAATACAGTTCCTCGTGTTGTGGCAACCTTTAAAATACAGTTCCTCGTGTTGTGGCAACCCTTTAATACAGTTCCTCGTTTTCCGACCCTTTAATACAGTGTTGTGGCGACCCTTTAATACAGTTCCTCGTGTTGTGGCGACCCTTTAATACAGTTCCTCGTGTTGTGGCGACCCTTTAATACAGTTCCTCGTGTTGTGGCGACCCTTTAATACAGTTCCTCGTGTTGTGGCGACCCTTTAATACAGTTCCTCGTGTTGTGGCGACCCTTTAATACAGTTCCTCGTGTTGTGGCGACCCTTTAATACAGTTCCTCGTGTTGTGGCGACCCTTTAATACAGTTCCTCGTGTTGTGGCGACCCTTTAATACAGTTCCTCGTGTTGTGGCAACCCTTTAATACAGTTCCTCGTGTTGTGGCGACCCTTTAATACAGTTCCTCATGTTGTGGCGACCCTTTAAGACAGTTCCTCGTGTTGTGGCGACCCTTTAATACTGTTCCTCGTGTTGTGGCGACCCTTTAATACAGTTCCTCGTGTTGTGGCGAGCCCCTAACATTCATTTTTTTTGCGTTGCTTCTCCATAACTTTAATCAGTGTGTGTTTTCCGATGGTCTTAGGCGACCATCGTAAAAGGGCCGTTGGACCCACAAAAGGGTCGCGACCAAAGGTTGGGAACCACTGGCCTAGAATGTGACATTGTTCACGTTTACATTATTAACACAGTAACGCCTAGAATGTGACATTGGTCATCGTCAACTCAACAATGCCTAGAATGTGACATTGTTCACGTTTACATTATTAACACAGTAACGCCTAGAATGTGACATTGGTCATCGTCAACTCAACAATGCCTAGAATGTGACATTGCTCATCATCATTAACTCAGTAATGCCTAGAATGTGACATTGCTCATCATCATTAACTCAGTAATGCCTAGAATGTGACATTGCTTATCATCATTAACTCAGTAATGCCTAGAATGTGACATTGCTCATCATCATTAACTCAGTAATGCCTAGAATATGACAATGCTCATCATCTTTAACTCAGTAACGCCTAGAATGTGACATTGCTCATCATCATTAACTCAATAATGCCTAGAATGTGACATTGCTTATAATCATTAACTCAGCAATGCCTAGAATGTGACATTGCTCATAATCATTAACTCAGTAACGCCTAGATTGTAACACTGCTCATCATCATTAACTCAGTAATGCCTAGAATGTGACATTGCTCATAATCATTAACTCAGTAATGCCTAGAATGTGACATTGCTCATCATCATTAACTCAGTAATGCCTAGAATATGACATTGCTCATCATCTTTAACTCAGTAACGCCTAGAATGTGACATTGCTAATCATCATTAACTCAGTAATGCCTAGAATGTGACATTGCTTATAATCATTAACTCAGCAATGCCTACAATGTGACATTGCTCATCATCATTAACTCAGTAACGCCTAGAATGTAACACTGCTCATCGTCATTAACGCAATAACGCCTAGAATGTAACATTGCTTATCAACATTAACTTGGTAAATTACTAAAATGTGACATTGCTCATCTTCATTAACTCAGTAATGCCTAGAATGTGACATTGCTCATCGTCATTAACTCAGTAATGCCTAGAATGTAACATTGCTTTTCAACATTAACTTGGTAAATTACTAAAATGTGACATTGCTCATCTTCATTGACTCAATAACGCCTAGAATGTGACATTGCTGACGTTTGCTTGCAGCTGCCTAACGGAAATGTGCAAGCATGCAAGTCGTAACTGCGTCCTCAGCCCACTGAAAGACCTTCGCATTGGGTGCCCCAACTGCCGGGTACTCATCTACGTCTCTCCCATACTGGAGAGGAATGTGACTTGCAACTTTATTATACAGTCGCTGATAGAGTGTCTGCGGTCAAGGGCGGGGGGCAAGAGAGTAAGTATGCTTTTTTCGGTGCTTTATTAATATCCTACCCGAAACAGGGGAAATCCACAATTCACGAGAGAGGCTAATATTTCAGGGGGTGGTAGATAGGCTGCATGCAGTCGTGGGACCTAGGATGCACTCGTGGGACGTAGGCTGGTTTGAGTTAGGGCCAGTTCTAGATGTTTTAGGGGTCGTTAAAAGCACAAGAAAGCAACTAACTTTAACTTTGTGATGATATGCCTGGTTGGCTTCCTTTCGGAGTCGGAGTGCATCTGCCTGAGAGGCGACGAACTAACAGTCTGCATACACTTTGTAAAATGGATATGCACGCATGACTCAAGTTCTTCAACCAGAAGACTCAAGTCCAGAAATGGACGAACAACGAGAGCTTTCCACGGGAGTTTATAGCCGATGAACGCGATGGAAATAAAAGACGATAACCAATTCGACCAGACAACAAGGGAAATTTTAGATCGACCTCTTTGTCAACAAGCAAAAATCAAGATTACCTTACTTCATACAGATCTTCTTTTTCTTCTTCTTCTTCTTCTTCTTCTTCTTCTTCTTCTTCTTCTTCTTCTTCTTCTTCTTCTTCTTCTTCTTCTTCTTCTTCTTCTTCTTCTTCTTCTTCTTCTTCTTCTTCTTCTTCTTCTTCTTCTTCTTCTTCTTCTTCGTCGTCGTCGTCGTCGTATTCGTAAATTATTCCTCGACAAAAGTGGACATTTTTTATGATGATGATGATGAGGGACGATGATGTCGGGAGGAGAGCCGGCACAGAACCAGTGCTGAACTTTATAGGTAAACAACAAATATGATGGTTTTGGCCATGTAACAAGATTGGCAGCAGACAGGGCACCGCAGACAGCAGTATTATACAGATGCAGCGTTAAGAGAACCAGAGATCGACCACGCAGAACAAGGACCGCACAAATATCAGAGACTGAAAAGTACTTTATACGAAGCGAACAGTAAAGATCCGTTCCAGATATTTCTTTCTGCCCTGACGGCACGAGGCATTCCGGGGGTAGACCCAAAAAAAAAAAAAAGGAAGAAGGAAAAAAGGAAGTCGATGACGATGGGAGATGTGGAAAAGAGAGACAGGGGCCGACCAGCGCAAAAGATGGCCACAGGATATAAGTGACGCCTTGGGTAGGAAAGTGCCCGAGATGGGAGAGCTGGCGAGGGACATAGTTTTCTCGAGGCAGACCGTGATGAAAGCGACGTTCTGCATAGGACCTGCTACATGATGAAGGTGATGCCCTAAAAAAAAACACACACCAAAACACCGTCAGTTGTGAGAATCTGTGGACTCCAGAAGGACGACAATTATAGGGGCTGAGTGGTCTCGAGGTATGGTGTCGGCCTCGAGTGCTGGAGGTCCCGGGTTCAAACATTTCGGGCTAAGGAGAATGGCGCTGCGAGGAGTTCCCAGGGAATCTGGCCGACACTGAACACTCAGGGGAAGGATGGGACGGATATACAATCAGATGGTTACTGGTGCCATCGGAATTGAAACTCTTCGCTTGCTGTTGAAGATAGGGACTGAGCACTTATGGGAGTGCTGCGTTGTCGATTCTTAATTCAACATTCAGCCCTGGTGAAGGATGAGATTTTTTTTTTACATGGACTTTTAGTAATTCCCCTTCCCCCCTTCCCCCTTTCTCTGGTTTCTGGGTGGTAAAGCCGGATGCCTGTCTGTATTCTTGCGTTCCTAAAAAATCCCTTGGCGGTTGGAAATCGAAAATAGTAGCCTAACGGCGCTGCCCGGGAGAAATGTGGAGTTGAAAATCTACCAAAAGTATTTCAGGATCCCCACCGGTGCAACGGAGATTCTTCAGACTCAGGCTTGAGTTAAAAAGAGAACGGAGCACTTATAGGTGACACCCATGTGCCATGATGTTTAGCCGTCGAATAAACATAAACATAAGAACGACAGAATCAGTCACATCTATGAAGGACCGTCCAATCGGTCGCTAGATCGTTTGATCAGAAACATCTGCGAGCTGACGTTTTGATAAGGGGGAGCCACGCCTTTCATGCGTCCTAGGTATTTATATGGCTAGACCTATATTTTATAGACCAAACGGCACTTGGTGGGTGATGTGGTCCACCATCACGCCGGCCACCTTTACTTCCCAGGACTGTACCTGGTACCCACTCAAGGCAGGGTCGAACTAGGAGCCAAGGTCATTTTCGAAAAAAATATGGCTTTTGTCAGGAACCAAACCCACGACCTTCCGATCCGCAGCCGAGTGTCTAGCCGCTAGAGCACGGTGGCTCCCACTTATACATTGTAGATAAATAATGTTGATTTTTGAGAGCATTCAATGGTTAGGCTTCCGTATAATTCTCAATACTTGTTTCACTCACCTTCTGCAGCAGAACATAGGCGTAAACACGGATGAAGTTAGAGTGGGTTCCAGGATTCGTACCGTCAACGACCTGGAAATGGAAAGGGTAATTAAGGAAGTGAGTACAGATAATAAACAATAATTTTAATAATAATAGTGGTGTTCGTAGTGGGTAATGAACAGGCAGACAGATTGGCTGGATCTGCACCACTGGGTGGTGAATTGATACATTATAAGGCAGATGTGGTCAAGGCCCTTTGGGAACAAGCAACAGAATCAGTAGAGAAAGAAGATTATTATGGCCTGGAGAGAATGAGGCACCTGGCTGTAACCAGAGTGTCTGGCCAGCCCACTACACTCAGAGGAAAGGCAAGATAGACAGATAACCAGATTGTGACCAGTACCATCAGTATTGGAACTCTGCACTGGCTGCTGAAGATGAGCGCGGAGCATGCATGGGTATGCCCCGAGTGCTGTGATGTCAATTCTTGACTCAGCTCGACTCAACTTAATAATAGTAATAATGGACGAAGGATTTGTATTATCATTATTTTTATTATTAACATTATTATTATTATTAATATTTTTGGACAGGTAGAAGGTGCCTCTGGTATATTTAAGGTCTGTGTATTTAGAGAATATCAGCTCCGATTTTTCATTAAAATTATTGTGCATATATATGAAAACGCAACTGATTTACAACAACTGCTGGGTGTTGTGGGGATGGAGAGTGCTATGCAAAGACTTTCCTTGAAAAATGAGGGGGGGGGGGGAACAGAAACAAGTGGTTATATCAAAGAAGAAGATAACACCACACTGTGATATCCCAGCTTAGGGAAAGAGACTTAACCAAGTCAATAAATTCAAATATCTGGAGAAAATTATATCAGATGGAAAGTGTTTGACAGAGATTAAAAGTAGAATAGGTTAAGCGAAGGCAGCATTTCGGAAAATGAAAAATACCTTATGCAATAAGTCGCTCTTACTTAATGTCGGAAAGAGTGTTAAAATGTTACATAGAATCTGTTCTGTTGTATAGCAGCGAATCTTAGAATGTCAGTGAACAAATTAAAAAGAATTTAGAAGCAACTGAGATGGGGTTTCTGAGACAAATGTTACAAATACCTGGGACGGCTAGAGCAACTAAGAACGCGTTTTTGGCAGAAGCTAATGAAAGTAGATCTCTATATACAACAATAGGAAAGAGACAAACACTGTTCTTTGGCCACATAATGAGAAGAGAGACATTAAAGAACATAGTGACAACTGGAAAGATCAGTGGAAAAAGGGGTAGAGGGGGACCAAGAGAGATGATGCTGGATGGGCTGAAAGATAGCACGGGGGGATATCATCAAGAGAGTTGCTCCATGCAACCAGGGATCGTGATCTGTGGAAATGCATGAGCGCCTACGCAATTTGACAGGGTACATGATGATGATGATGATGTATGTAGTGATTAGTATTCAGCCGTGACCACTGAGTTAACCGTATGTGTCAATTCCTCCCACCACCAAAAACAAAAATTGGTTGACACATTCCGTTTCTAGAGACAGCTTTTATCGTGTTTGCTGTTTAAGACAGTTTTCTGTCCACCGCTGATAAGATTCGGTCTTCCCGGATAGTTCGCTCCCGCCATCAAAACATTAAGAACGCAGCGTGGTCGAGGCTGCCAAATATAATGGTCGTTATCCCACTCCGACACAGCAAAACACACTGCTCCTAAAAAAAAAAAAAACGACATAGTATCCTTGGTAGGAAATGCACACAAATTATTAGCAGTCCATGATTAGGGAAACAGAACAATCCGAGAGAAATCACAACCATCGAAAAATAACACCACCGCTTGTCGCCATTTTGCAAACTGAAGACGATTGATATTTAAGTTTCAGCTTTATTTATCTTCTTTTTTTTTTCTTCTGTGTGTTGCTTTGGTTCTTCTTCTTCTTCGCGTTCACCGACTGTGAACTCTGACGAACAGTTATGGTTGTTCATCCACTTCTGGCAGCAAACAGTTTACATTGTTAGAGCACATCTGTGCATTCTGTGTGGTTATGGCTGGCCATGAGATTAGCCCTGCGACTGACTGACTGGCAACTTTCCGTCTTTCCAGACGATGGTGTTATATTACGCTATCAGGAGGCATGGGACCTACAACCCATGGCTATGGCGAGTGTGACTAGCAAGACCCGACCGCGTTAAGAAGTCTTCCACAATTACAGCAGGAGATTTCAGGACCGTTGTTGTCAGTATTTGTGTTTAATCTATTTCTTCTCAGACGATCAGCTCTCATCCTTTCTGCAGTAACTTCTTCCTTTATTCTCATCCCTTCTTGATGTGCCCCCTCCACACAACACGGCCCATGGCAGTTTGTTCCCACGAGTCCACTTCAATACCTGTTCCATTCATGTCCTGCTTAGACAAATCTTTATATCGTTAGAGGTCGCGATTAACTGATGACTGTCTGACTTACTCTAGGAAGGAAGAGTAATGACCTCCCGGACTAAATTTTGAGTTGAAAATCTACCCAAAATATTCCAGGCTCCTCGCCGGTGCTACGGAGTTCGGACACTGCGCTGAGACCTTAGGACTCAGGCTTGAGTTAAAAGTAGAACGGAGAACTTATAGGTAGCTGCCCTTGTGCCGCGTTGTTGATCCGTTGTTCGAACTGAAACCAAAACATAAGAAGAGTAAGAACAAAGCAATTTGTCAGTCAGTAGCATGTTCTTTGCAGAACCTTGCTACCATAACAACCTTTCGGAAAACATCTCGATCACAAGCAAGATGTCCTGCGTCCGACACACCCATCTGGAGATCATCCGCCACATCCTTCACCCATCTTATCTTTGGCCTCCCTCTTCCTCTCTTCATAGGCATATACCCCTCCATTATTGTTCTCTCTAAACTTTCATGACGTTTCAAGTGACCAAAACAACAGACTAGATTACAAATACCAGCTGTCCTCTTGCAGGTGGACCGGATGACGGATGCGCTGGGAAAACGAAATGTTATCGACAACGCTTATTTCGAAATCGATGAAATCAGAAGACAGTACTTGGCCCAGCAAGCCCAGGTGCAAGGGGAGGACGAAGAGCAATTGCAGAACAAATCAAGGTGGGTGGTGAGCGGTGCGACATCTCAGACTCTGACTGTCTTAAGTATGTGTATTAGTGTCTGTATCTTCGGGAGCCGCCGTGGTCTAGCGACTAGACGCTCGCCTACGGATCTGAAAGTCGTGGCTTCGGTTCCTGATGATGGGAGGGGGGAAGGGGAGTGGGGTTCAGACTTTATTTCAGAAATGACCTTGGCTCCAAGGTCGACCTAGCCTTGGGAAGTAAAGGCGGCCGGCGTTATGCTAACCACATTACCCACCAAGTGCCGTTTGATCTATAAATAAATAGGGCTAGCTCTATATACCCAATACGCATGAAAGGCGTACAAAAGGGTCCATTACTTGACTTACTGTCTTCATTTCAGATTGTACTTCCCTGGGTAGTTACTCAAATGAATCTTTGTAGGTCTGTAAGATTGTATCTGTTTACGTCAGTGGTCAATTACCTTTTTAGGATCCCCCCCCCCCCCCACCAGTTTATGGCAAGACCCCCCACACTTCTTTAAGTATATATGACCCCCACCCCCAAGTATATGGAAAGGGGACACCCCCCCCCCCCCCACCTCTTTTCCACCAAACCACATAACAAAATGTGACTAAAAAGAGGTCAATAGATTTCATAACAAGAGAAACAAAGTATGGAGATAACGTTTTCCACAGAATGTGCCCTTCACCCACAATTAAATGCGTTAGTTATCATATCAATTAGATTTGTAACGGTAGATGTACAAACTGCCCATGAAAGCATAGATGTCCTTGTCGTGTTCTTTAATTAACAGTTTTTGAAAAAAATTATTTGTAATAAAACGAAAACAGAACACAAGTATATCTGATTATATCACAAATACAAATGTACTTAGTTTCAAAATCGCTTGGGCCGCCCCGCCCCCCCCCCCCCCCCACCCCTTTAAAACCTTTTTTGCACCTTCCGTGTTGAAGACTAGTGGTCCAAAGCAGTGTTTCCTAGTTGTAAATGTGAACAAAGAAGACACAAACAATAGACTGAAAAATGTAATACCTGACTGTATCTCAACGGCTAGTCAGTAAAAGATCCTTTCCACGCCTTCATGTGTATTGGTCTTATAGGGCGAGACCTATATGGTTGAAGACCAATCGGCACTTGGTGGGTGATGTGGTCAGCATTGCGCCAGCCGCCTTTACTTCCAAAACGGCACCTGGTGCTCAAACAAGACTTGGTCGACCTGGGTGCCCATTTCATTTTTTCAAACAGTCTGGCCCCCTCAGGATTTGAACCCACTGCTTTCTGATTTGCAGGCGAGCGTACTAGCCGCTATACCACAGCGACTCTTTTTGGTTTCTATGTAACATTTTTTAAAAAGAACTTATGGTGATGTCACTGCTCGCTGTTGCTGTGTTAACAGAACCCTGTTTTCTTGGTCAAAGGGAAGGAAAGCAGTTGTTTCTTTGCACCTTTTGTATTCAGTGACTATGTCCCTTCATATTAAAAAAAAAAAAAAATCACCTTTGCAGAACGTAATGACTAAATATGAAAAATACATCTTTTCTGTGACTTTGGGGTTGCAATGATGTAATAGTTTGAAGGCTAGCTTGTCTGCTCTGTGGTCATAGGTGTCAATCCCCTCGATTAAAAAAAAAACCAAAAACTAAGAATCCAAATTTCTCTTTCTTCTCTTATTCCTCTAGTTTCTTATAGTACTGTCATGGCAGTAAGGCCGAACAGGTCGGTGAAAATTCCCTCTTGTTAGGCCGCTCCAGGGCTGGTCTGTGCTCATCACTGTTATAGAGTAAATGGATACACAAATTAAACAACAGTTTAATTAACTTGCAACATATTTTTTTAAATTAATTTTCATTATAAAGATAAATAAGGGAGCCATTAGAAAATAGATAATATAAAATTAAAATAAGTTGAGCCTGTATTTCAGAAAATTTAGATATAATGGTGAGCGTGGACCGGCCTAACAAAAAATTCAGACCTGTTTGAAATATGTTGAAAATTATAATGATGGCTGAAATGTTATTTAGTTTTTTCATTTTTTAAGGGACAAAGGGGTTAAATCACTAAGATGGTAGGCAGATTCACCAATCAAAATGTCCCCAAACAGGTTGAACCCCCTAATTGAATTTGATTAAATCTGTTGGAAACAAATGCTTTCTGTAGGTACATACTAGTTAAAGATTAAAGGAAAATTAATGTTAGGGCCTAAAATCAACATATTTTCACGGATATTGATAGATAATGCCATATTTTATGCACACACAAAAAGGAATATTTGTACTCAACATTTGCTAATGTATTTCAAAAACTAATATAGATGGTTAAATGAAAATATGCACAAATATTTAGTATTATATTTCAAACTGATTGTGCTAAATACTATTCACTTAATGCAACGGTTTAAAAGTTATGTTCATTTATGTGGTACAATACTATTTTCCAAAACAAATTAGGGGGAGGGTTACCATATAAGACAAAAATGCAAAAAGTATTCAGGCTGTTGTATTTATGTTAGTTCAGTCTGATTAACTAATCATTTCCTATGTGTGTGCTAATTATGAAGACAATATGCTAGTAACTTTTTGAGATATTGTGTGCAATGTGGTGAAAAAAAGTCAATAAAGGGGGGGGATTTTGAGAAAATTCACTAAAAAGTAACTGACTAAGCTGGTTTTTCCACTAATCCTTTACCTAATGAGTCCCTGCTGCATGTGAGTCATCCTCATGGTATATTCCTCAGCTGTCTGAATACTTTACTTTGCTCTTTTTATCTTCTTATCCATTTTATTATAATTTTCAGCTGCTCTTTCACGTGCCTAATCAAATCTACAAAATGTGGAAACACTGTTCCTCAGCTCTTAGCCTTGACTAGTTCTCTTTCATTTTATGTAATACATCATCATTCGCAGCTATTTCTAGCCTATATCTTCCAATATGGATTACATAGACAAGGCTATCCCAGTTATTATACAATTTCTAACAAATGGGCTAAATAATTATTTAAAAGGGTTGATAAATAACTGAGTTATGACAGTTTGAATATTTTGCCTATATAATTGAGTAAATAAATGGTCACCAAGCTATTGTAAAATGACTTTCAGGTTGAATTTTCCCACAAGACATGCATTATCATGTGCAGAAATGAATACACTTTCATGTAGTGTAAAAAAGTAAAATTCCACAATTTTGAAAACATTGTCAGTTTGGATGGTTTAACCTGTCTTTAATCAGTTTTTGAAAGTTATGTTTATGGCAATATTTGCAGGAACCAAGCCCGATCTATTCAACAGTGTCCCAAGCAACTACGACTACAGCAACAGCCATTTTATCAGCAGCAGCAGTGTCAGAGGTCATTCAACTGGGAGGATTTAAACGGCCAGTTCAAGACGACACCTGCATCCTCTTTCCATCACCAACAACCACAGCAACCAAACTTTAAGCTACATAGTAAATTTCAACTGCAGCAACAGCTGCAGCCTCAGCAACAACCGATGCCGTCCGCCGCCACCACAACAGCAGCAGCAGGCTTCTCAGTTCCAGCTGAAAGTACAGTCTCAGCACCAGCAGCATTCGCCACAACTGCAACAGCAGCCACAGAAATCCCAGATGCTGCAGCAGCAGCAGCCACATCTACAGCAGCAATCACAACTACAACAACAGCCACCACAACTGCAACATCAACAATCACAACTGCAGCAACAGCAACAAGTCTGGACCAACTGGCCAAAGATTTCCAAAATGGCGATGGTACTTCCGCTGCAGCAGTGCCCGGATGTTGGGCCTTGTCCTGGACCCCTGGGACAGGCCGAGGTTCCTCCGGGACATTCATCTCGTCTAGACAATGACCCAGCAGTGATGTCCTACTCTTACAGAGCATCTATAAACCCCATGTTGAACAAATAAAGACCAACAACACGATGGTTGTCTCAGTAAACAAAAAGATTCAGACATGAACTTTCATCTGCTAAAACAAAAGACTCTGATACTGTCTTCGATCTGTCAGAAAACTAGGCTTAGAAACTCAGATGTCTTGATGAACCTGGGCTTTGTTCTGGCAGTACACAGTACCGGCACACTTTTTTAGGCATAATATTCTTCAATACAACTGTGATAGACACATTTTGGTGAGTACCGGCATTTTTTGTAGACACTGTGTGGTGACTACCAGCACCTATTTAGACATTTTATGGTGAGTACCCGCACCTCTTTAGACACTTTGTGGTGAGTACTGGCACCTTTTTGTCTAAGGAAAAAAGCACTATGATGAGCAGTATGTCAGTGTTATAATGTCTAGATAATCTTTCACTTGTTGGGTACCATGAACTGATGCCTAGAATACTTTCAGTCCCAAAGCCTGTGTGCAGGAGAATACCAATCTGTGAGCTTTTATGAGTTGAGGCTTTAAATTTATGAGACAGTACACAACCAGCTCCAGATATAAGGCAGTACAGCTCAAATGGGAATTCCCATTTTTGTGAGGCTGGTGAGGCCAATTCGTGGTAACAATTGTTATCAAGTAGATTTATATACAAACTGAACTACAGTTTAATAAATTTGCCACATGTGTTTTTGAATGAATGATCAGTTTTGAAGATCAATATATTCTAATAGCCCATTAATTTATCTTCAAAATAATAATCCATTCAATAACACATGTTGCAAATTTATTAAACTGTAGTTCAATTTGTGTATAAATCTACTCGATAACAACTGTTACCACCAACTGGCCACGCCAAGCTCACAAAAATGGGAATTCCCGTTTGAGCTGTACTGCCTTATATCTGGATCTGGCTGTGGACAGAACTAGTAAAAAAAAAAAAAAAAAGAGCAACAGGGCAAACTTGAGTTATTTAGTTGAAGCTTGTGACCAAAGAAGTTTATAAATATATACAATGTTTAAAGTGATCAATGGATGTGCAGTGAGCTCACTGTTATTTAAATAATTAAACGGACGAGGTTTCTTACAGCAAGCATGGATGGGACACTTGCTTCACCAAGTGATAAACATTTCACTATCAGTACTGTTCATTCATTGGTATATCCCAGAAACTGTAGCAGCAGCCACAATCGCAGCTAGTGAAACATGCCTCAGCAAAACTGATAGCACGCGTTTAAGGAATCAAATTGAAGACTATTATTTCAGTGACAATTATTACTGCAGACTTTAAAACACATATCTTACAGTGTCTTTTTACTATAAGCTTGTGCTTTGTTTTGTTGCTAATATCGTCTTAAACATTACACTTTTTCAAACCATCTGCTTAATATCATAGACATGAAATCATCCACAAGTCCAAATGTGTTTCTTTCGTAACTGTTTATTTTTTTTATGAAGTGGACCTGATATTCTATCTTTGTAATGAACTCTAGCATTGACCCATGAAGTGAATATTTTCATAGCTCTTGACAACCTGGCCAATTGTAGATTATTTAGTCTGTTTGGACACGACCGGCTTCAGCTGACGAGCCATGCTACTGACGTCCCCGGGTCAGGCTAACAATGCATTAACGCAACGGTTCTCAAACAAGAAGTAAACTGTTTTCAACAGTGGTGAGGAAAGACAATTTAAATTTTAACGTTTAAGTATCTGCATGCCTTCTTTAATAATTTCACTTATTAGCCAACTTTTCTTGATTATTGCAGGCGGCACCACTGGCATACGCTGACTGCACCCCCCCCCCCCCCCCCCCGGTTCCTTGGCACCCAGTTTGAGAACTACTGCGTTAACACATCGTTAGCCGAACCCAGTAACGTCCGCAGCATCATAAACGTCTGTAAATGTACTGATCAAGAATTATTGTGACAACATATCAATGAGGACGATAAGTAAAACTAGTGAGCTTAACAATTTCCCAATCACAAAAGACTAAATGAACGTTTTGGTTAGAAAACCTTTATCAGCGTACACAAACAATTACAAGAATACACAAAATCACTTATCTGCAAGATACTGTCAGCAAAATATTCTTAACACATCTGGACAGTAGAAACTCTGTCCACATGCTGTTGTAGGAAGAGATACTGGACAGGCAGTGGTCCAGAGAGATGGAATTGGTGAGCAGATATGGTTATATCAAGGGAGATAACAAATTTTAGATATTAATAAAGTAACAAACAATGCATTGATTAGCACTCATAGAAAGAAGTAAAAAGGTAGAAGAACACACTTCCATTATTTATTTATGTGACCATTTTAGATAAAGCTGTGTTGCACATTAAGGCCCTTATGAGAGAGAGAGAAAACCCATTAGGCAGACAAAATAGTTCTCAAGACACTTGCAAAGACTATCAATAGAAGGGCTTGACTTTATGGTTGTTAAGGCCCATATGCCAGAGAGAGAAATAATGTGATGGTTTCCCCTTAATCTCTGTATTTAGCAGAGTAAGAAATATCTATCTAGTCTTGCTGCAGCTGTGATACCAAATCTATCATGCTAGATAACGTTGTTTTCCCCCAGGATGTCTTTTTCTTTGTCTAGTATCCTAGTTGCTGATTCCTTTGTCTCTTTATGTACCTACTGCAATGTATACCTTTATCGGTCAACCTGACTGGAATGTCTAGGGGCCTGCATATGCAGCTGTCCAAACCATTCATTCCATTAACATTGTTTCTGTCATCATTTATTTACTACTAACATCTTATTGTAGAAACTGCAACTTGTCTGAGAGAAGGCATGTATGGATTGTCCGACTCCTCCATGTCTTTGTCTGACTCCTTTATGTCTTTGTCTGTTCATGTTGTGTGTAGCACTAGACCTTTGTTTTTCGAGAGATATACATAAGCACGTTTCCTTTTACACAACAGAAACTGCACACCCAAAGTTGGAAAACCAGAACTGTGGTGCCACAATAAATATTTATACTTGCAACATAACAAACGTATTTTGTGCTTCTTTTTGTTTTTGTTTAGTGGGTTGTCTTCTCTTATTTACTGATTTTGTTGTTGCACAATAAGTGTTTCTTCTTTTACTGTGCTCGCCCTTAAAAAGGCGGTTGGCATATTGTGTGTTTTTTTCGGCCCGACACATCCGCTTTCATCTAACCACTCCTTAGTTGCCTTTCAAGGTTTGAGGTTTTAAGGTTTTGAAAAACGGATCAACATCATGAAACACGGGTAGTAACCCATAAGTGCTCCGTTCTTCTTCTAACTCAAGTCTGAGTCCGAAAAAGCTCAGCACAGTGCACAGGTTCTGTGGCACCAGCAACGATCCTGAAAGACTTTAGAAAGACTTTAACTACAAAATTTGTCCCGGGTAGCGCCATTAGGCTACTCTTTTCGATTGCCAAGGGATTTTTTACGTGCGCAACAATACACACGTGCGTCTGATCTCATTAACCAGAGACCAGGGGGAATTCTGAGTAGTCCAAGTTCACCTGAAAAATTCCTAGCCCTTACCATGGATTGAACCCGGAACTTCTAGAACTGGAGGTGGACACCATGCCTCGAGACCAGGCAGCACCGCTAGTTGCCTTTCATGTGCTTGCAAGGTGGGGTAGTAGGTCAGGCAGCTCTGTGGGTTATGATGTTTCCTCTGCTTAAAGTAAATGCCGTGTGGCATTAGTAGCCATGTCCACAACCTTCTGCCTTGTGTACTATCAATCTGCTCTGACCCAAATGATCCTCAATGCCATTATGTCTAACTGTCCAGCATCTTTTCTCTCGTTCTCCCTCTGCCACCCCCCCCCCCCTCTTTCAAACTTTCCAACTGTTACAATGTACGATGTTTTCTCCTTTTCATCAACTGACCAAAGCATATAGATTGTCTCTTTCTGATGTGGGCAATCAGTTCTCTTCGTGAGTTCATTTCTTTCAAGACATCCTCATTACTCTTTTTATCTGTCCAGGGTTTTCTCATCATCCGTCTATAAAACCACATCTCCGCAGCTTCAAAATAATTTTTCACTAACTTACCAACTGTCTATGATTCACTTCCAGATACCAATATAGGATTTATGTAGCTTTTAAGAATTCTCTTTCTTGTCTCCACTGACAAAGAAAGATTACATAAAATATCCTTAATTTTGTAAAATGTTCTAGTGCTAGGACACAGTAATTATGCTACCAGTGTGTTTTCTTGATGTGTGTCCTATCAAGAGTATTGACCTCTTCTCTCAAGTCACTTCTTCATCAGTGATTTTATCATATCAGTCAGTTGCTTCTTTTCTGTGCAGACAACACTTAATCACTTTGTTTTGGCTGCCTCTGCACAATTTGTTGGAATACTGATGCGTGATAAGGCAGACTCTCATATGTACTATAGAACAGCTCTATGCCAAGGCAAGCAATGCTGTCACACTGAAGGGACAAATAAGAAGCTGGTTCCGAACAACAGTAGGAGTCCGACAGGACTGCCTCTTCTCTCCAACACTGTTAAACATCTTTTTAGAACATCATGGAACAGTTAGTATGAGGTCAAACTATAACAAACTGAAGGTTTGCAGATGACATCAATGGGTTGGCCGGAGAAGAACTAGTCAAGCTTGTAAACCTATTTGATAAAACATCAATCAAGTATGACATGGAAATAAACTCAGAAAAAAACAAAAGTAATGACTAATAATCAAGCTTGCAGAATTTCACCAATCTAGGTTACAGGCCACAAATTAGAACAAGTGATTTATTTCAAATATTTGGGATCCATTTTCAATGACAAAGGGTCACGACCACAAATCATGTCTAGGATTGCCCAGACAACATCAGCCCTTGCCAAGCAGCAAACATGGAGATCCCAAAACATTTCATGCAAAACTAAGATTCAATTGCTCAGAGCACTGGCTAACAGTACATTTACATTTGGCTGTGAAACATGGACCTTAACAGCTGAACCTTGAAATAATGATACA